GCGCCTGGACGCCCGCCGGCAGGCTCGCGCTGCCCCGCTCATCCGCCTCCATTGGTCTGGGCCTCCCGAGATGGGGCCCGAGTGCGCAGACGAGGTCGGGCGATGGCGCCGCGTCGCCGATGCACTGCCAGTGCGGCTGGCTGTGGGGCCTGCTCTGCTCCGTGCTGGCGTCGCCGGTGCGCCCCCGACGTCGCGCATGCGTCGCCGATGCATCGCCAGTGCATCGGCGATGCGGCGCGATCCTCCGACCTCATCTTCTCGGACCCCATCTAGGAGGCTCCAATAAGTGGCCAAACTTCTGGAGGGCACCGAGCTCACAGACTGCCAGCGCTCCTGAGCCCAAGACGATGCGTGGGAGGTCCTACGTTTCGAACAAATCCATACGGACATGTTTCATCGTTTTCGGCGTCTGGGGGTCCTCGCCGAGTCCCAAGACCGTCAAAAACCAGACCCAGAACGAACAAACAGCCACAAAGAAGTGGTACAAAGCAAGGCTCGAACTAAACAGTGCTTTCCGTGCTCATTTTGTCCTCGCTTTCCCCCGTTCTGTCTTCATGTTGCCTTTGCCGCAAGACAAGACCAAAAATAAAACGGTCCACGAAATCGCCAAAAAACCGCAACTCGCGCCCTGCTGCCCAGGACGGAAAAACCGCCACCAGGGAGTCGTCCAGAGCTCCGTGGCCCCGTAGTGAAAACAGCGAGACATCGGAGATGGGATAATGCTGCACTTGGCGAAGGAGCAAGTTTTTTAGAAGGCGCCGGCCCTAATCAGCGAGCTCCCGCTGCAGACATCCCACGAACAGTGGGCAGTCAAAACCCAGGGCGCGCTCGTCAAAAAGCATAGGCGAACCCGAATTCCTGCGTACTCGAGTCTTACGTTTCCCCGATCTGCGTGTGGCCGAAGATGGGAGACAGAAAGAATCCAGATGCTTGCTGATTCCTATTGCTGGCTCTCTGCGCAGAGGAGAGGGCGGACAACTCGTGCCCCCCCCCTTGCGGAAACGGGGGACGGAAACAGCCTGCCGCTTGTCAGGTTTTTGTTCCTGTCTTCGTTTTTTTGAGTGATGTTTTTTGATTGAAGGGGCCCTGGGACACACAAATAAATACACACAAATAACTGGATTCCCATATTTTCCCATATTTTCTGGGTTTTGGTCTTCTCCCCCCCACTTCCCACACTTTCCCATATTTTCCTGGGAGTCGACGAGTAATTGTGTCTGTGTTCTTCCCCTCCTGATTGATGTCCTGTTGCGCGCCACGGCAGAAGGCACACAAGACGCCGCGCGGCCTTCGACGCGCCGAGGGAGGCGCGCGCCGCCCGCGAGAGGCCCGCGAGAGCGAGCCGGGCGAGCGGCAGGGCCGGCAAGGCCGGCAGGGCCAGCAGAGGCCTCGATAGGGAGCTCCCGGGCCGGGCGCGAGGCGGAGGAGCGCGCTTTGGCGGCGCGCATAAAGGGGTGGGGGGAAGGGGGAGGGCTTCTTAGAAGGAGGCTGCTTCTTAGAAGGCAGCCGGCCTTGCATCTCTAGATGAGGCCCGCGCCTTCTGAGAAGCAGGCGTGCTTCTAAGAAGCCCTCCCCCCTCCCCCCAACCCCCTCTGCGCGTGGCTGAGCGCTCCGCGGCTCGGAAAAAGCTGCACCTGCACGCGAGCTGCACATCCGCCGCAGGGGATGTACTGACTTACCTGCCAGACCACCCCAGCCCAAGCCGAAGGCCCGAATTTCGGGTTGGGGGGGGTAAGGGTTCCACATGAGTTTTTTCAATGTTCCCCGACCCCCCCCACTGGAAATGGAGGGAAAATTGAGGCCTTCGGGTTGGGTTGGGGTCGTTTAGTGGGTGGTGATGTACGACCCATGCTAGAGGTCAAAACAACCCCCTCCCATAATAACCACCCCGGCACGCGAAGCCGTTTTTTGGTACACGCGCCCAAAGAAGAAGTCGAACAAGGCAAGGCTTTCAGTAGACGCCCAGGGCCGTTTAGTAAACGCCAAGTGTCTGGACATGGTGTTTTTTCCTCCCTCGAATGGTGTCGATGCGAGCATGTGTGTTTGTCTCAGACGCTTGCGAGTAGGCACTTTACGAATAGTCGAGTGCGCGCTCGGTGAGAAAAAGGGGATAGAGCTTGGAGTTCGCCGGGGGGTAACGTTGCTTCCAAGGCCAGATCCCAATGCACTCGGCCGGCGCGCTTGATCCGTCAACAGCAGTCCCCACGACCCCCGCTCGCAAGAAGCTTGTATCGCATGTCTCGCCATGGCTTGGACGTCCGTTCCCGGTGTATCCTTCGATCTCGATCTCGCGCGTGCATTATTCTGCAAGGTGACCCAAAATGCTCCTCGATGGTCCTCGCCGAGGAAAACGCACGTCCGAGCGATGCCAAGATGTTTGCTCTTGCCGACGATTGGGGTGCTGAGACTTGCTCTTACCGCACGTTCGTGTCGTGTCGACCTCGGCGTTGGTTTCTGACACCGCGGGGATCGTTCAACCTTGAACGATCGGCCGCTTCCGATATGTCCGATCGTTCAGCATCGACCGATTCTGGATCGCCGCCGGCGTTCAACGTCGAACGCTGGCGGCAGGGCCGCCGAAAGTCGACACGACGCGAACCTGCCGTACCCGTATCGGCGGCGAGCCCGGAGTGAAGTGAGAAGGGGCGGGCCATCTCAGAAGGCTTGGCAGTCTCCGGGCCTTCTGAGAAGTTTTCTGAGCCCTCTCCGAAGACACCGAACACCACTTAGAAGGCGCGAGGACTCCTGAGAAGTCCCGCCGCTTTCTGAGAAGGCCTTCTCAGGGCTGAACCCAAACGGTGTTTTACGTTTTCGTTTTGTTTTCGTTTTCCCTCGCTTTTGTGTCGAATCCACCTTTACCGCAGAACGAAATCGGAATGAAAACGGCCCACGAAATCACCAAAAACACCGTTCAGGTCCAGCCCTGGGCATTCTCCTTCTCACTTCCCCCCCTGGGCGCGCCGCCGAATGCCGGTCACAATCGGCCCCCGGACGCCCCCCCCAGGGTCCACCCGACGGGGCTATGCCCCCGGACCGAGCTTCGGGGGCCCCGGGCCCGAAAACGGCCCCGCAGAGGCAGAAAAAACGACGCCAAGCCGCCTCGAACCTCGAACCTCGAACCTCGAAATTCGAACCTCGAGGCTCCCCCCCTCGCTCGCCGCCGATCCTCCTTCGAGCACCACCCCCTCCGGTGGCGCCCCGGAACACACACGGAGATCGCGCCCGCTGCCCCCCCCCCCTCGGCGAGCTTCTCCCATCGGCGACTCCAAGCATGGCATGGCTCGCACACAGGGGTGCGGCTTTTGCCACCAGCACCCCGGGGACCTCGATTGATTTCTCCGCCTGGGCACCCTGGGGGGCACCCCTTGGGGGGGGGTGGGGGCGGGCGGCGATCTCGATGGACTTCTTCGCCTCGCCCCGAGGAGGCCCGACGAGGACAGCGTCGCGCCCCCCTGGCCCCAACAAGCAAAAAATCGCGGACAGGCACGGGGCGTGGCCTTGGCCTTCGCAGCCGGCACCCTGGGGGCCACCCCGTGGGGGGCGGGCGGGGGCCTCGATGGACTTCTCCGCCTCGACCCGAGGAGGCCCGACGAGGGCCGTGTTGTGCCCCCCCGGGGACTCAACAGATGCCGATCGCAGATAGGGGAACGAAAAATTACATAAACATAAAAACTCTGACCTCGGAGTTTTCATGTTTATGCCACTTTTTGTTCCCCTAGCCCACACACCCTCTGTGGTCGCCGAGTCAGGGGACAGAGCCGAGGAGCAGGAGAGCGCAGAATCGAATCGACCAGTCGGATATCGGCGATCGACACGCGTCGGACCGGCGGAAATCGGCAGCGGAGCCGGGAGAAGTCGAATCGGCGGAAATCGGCAGGGTGGTAGGCCTCCGCTGAGGAATCGGAAGCCTAGTCGGAATCCCAAGTCGAATCGAATCGGCATCGGAAGCCATCGAAGCCGAATCGAAGCGAATCGGAGGCATCGAAACGAGCCCTGGAGGGGGGTCTGGCGCGGCCGATCCTCCCGGCGCCCCCCTGGCCCCGGCGCCAGAGGCGCCCGCGCGTCGAGCAAAGCGCCTGGAAGTGGGCCCACTTCCAATTGTCGTGCGACGCCGTGCTGGGCGCTCCTTCAAATCGCAAGCTCGGTCGATTCGCACAGTTGGCGTCGCGTCGCGCAGATGTCGGCCTCATCGCGATCAGCGATTATTTAGGCATGAGGGCCAGTAAATCTAAATCTACAGGCCGACCAGCGAAAGATAATCATTTCTGGCCCCACGTGGGGCCGAGGCGAGCCGCATGCAGCAGCCTCCGTGCCCCCCCCCCCCCCCCTGGGTCACGTCGCGACTCGCGTCGGCGCCGTGTGGGAACTGGCCACTCCTGCGTAAACATGCCCAGACGGCGCCCTCGCGAATCGTGCCGTGACCCGGCCCAGTGCCCCCCCCTGACACCCTCCCTTCCCCATCTCCCCCTTTCTCGTCCAACCCGAAACGATGGGCGTGCTCACTGAGTGCAGCCGGAGTCGGCGATCCAAGATTAATCCATCGAGTCGGTAAGTCGGATCGAAACGTACATGGGATCGGGCTGCATCGGCACGGGATCGATATCGAAATCGAACCGGATCGGCAGCGCCAGGATGCATATCAACGCCATGGAATCATCTGGCCGAGTCGGATCGCCCGAAAATCAGGATCGAACATAGTAGGATCGGCTGGAACCAATATCGAATCGAATCGGATCGATCGGATCGCAATGGACCCTGACCTCCTCCTCCTCCTCCCTCCCTCCCGCCGGAACCGCATCGAATCGGAACAGCGACATCGACTCTCCTGTCGGAACATCGGACTTTAATATGA